TCATTGGTTATGCACCTGTTCGTGCCCCTACCAATGTCGTTGAGGAATACCATTCTCATAGTCAATATGTGAGACTAGTTTTGGTTCATCGGACACCTTTGGAATAGCAGAATTTTGACATGAATGGCGTTGTTAGCCAAATCCCCTTAGTAACTTTGGTTTACTTTATGAATATTTTTCCATGTTCTTGGATTTAAGTTTGGTGTTTGTTTTCCGTTACATCTTATTGATATTGTCCTCAAATACGAGTTAATTGAATCATGTTTCTTAAAACATGTGACCAAATTCAATTAAACACGTGATTAAGTACGAATGTGGGAAAGTTAGTTGTCTGCATGAATGTGATACCACGCACACTGACTTTATACCTAAATCATATCTCTAGCAATGACTTGAGGTCTATCCAACCTAATTAAGAGTATTGCCACGCTCCTCGTTGTATGAATGGTACTGAATTACCATTTAAGGGACCTTATATTCTCCCCGTCGTTGAGTTTTAAAGGATATTTGAGTTGATAATGATCAAGAATGAAACCATTGAAGAAAATAGAGCGATATATCTTTGCACCACCTCCAAAAATAAGCCTGAAACTTTGATTTAGGGTCAATGGGTTCTCTCCCAACTAGGAACACACCACATGTGGCTGGCCTAAAGCCTGGTTAGTGAGCAGTTTACTTGCCTTAGCACGACCTTTTGGGACACTTAGGTCGAACAATGATGCTACAATGCATCTCCTTACCCGATAAAAGGATCTTGTGCCTACAAACACACTTTGCCAAGCCTGCTCAATAGGGAAATTGATTTTCTAAATCATCCCTTGCAAAGATACAAAATCACCCTTTTTTTACAGTGGATTGAAGGGAATATATGTGGACTAATCCAACCAAAATGAGGACCATATAAATACTTATGGGTTTGGTTAATGAGTCGACAAACTGGTCACATGTTTGTCTACACACATTGCTGCTAAACCCCATGGCTGATTAAGGGTTCGCCACCCTACATATCCCATAAAGTCCAGGAAACTAAATAATGCTAGAGAGTTTATATCGATGGTTTTTTCGATAAAGTACTGCATGTCTTTTGGGTTTATAATTGAACATCGAATTCCCATGTTCACCCCAAATAGCCTCACCTAGTTATCATAAAGCGCAATTTAACTGATCACCCGGACCTTGGTAAACGTACCAAGTTTTCAGTTTCTGCCTAGGGCTATGCAATCTTGTACGCAGCTATGTTGGTTCGCCTTGAGGCCCATTGCCACCCAACCTATACGATGTTATAGTTGGTTACTGGGTACGAACCTGATGTTTTTCGTATTTATGCATTTAGGTGTGCATTCCATGTGCCAAGTTGCGCTACCTCAATGTACCAACATAGGTCTTCAAAGAAGGATATGAATCTTTGTTTAACATGATTCTCCTTCACACTATCTCTTAGAGCCTTTGCACGCGATCTCTTTACTGCTCATTTGCGGGTTGTCAATTCAATGAGACAGTCTTCCTGCTATTAGGAGGAGATAAGAATGTCAACATTCATGTAGAACGACGCAAATTTACGTGGATGTTGCCCATTATGTCTTATCTCGATCCCTATATTGCACAAGTGTAATAAGCAAGTGCGATGAATTCTAGCTTTCACAATGTTGCTCCAGATGCATTCCTCTAATCTAGCTAAAGTGATGAGATCATATACCAGCTACAAACATGCTTGCAAGGATAGACGTACTTAACGGATGTCGAGTCAACATCCTTGAAGGGTGTGCCACCCCTGTTAGATGGTTTGGACGCCCCTGTTAGATGGTCTGGTACACCGACAGATAGCTAATCAATTTGTCTTAGCTTGGAGCACGACAGATCACTCGGTTCATAGGATTCACTTCCCTAGAAGAGGAAGACATGACACAACAATGAATCCATACTAATCACTGTCTCAAATCATTTTTATCTCATGAGATTAATCCGGATTACTCCCGAAACTTGAAGTTCTTGGTCCAGTATACTAGTTTGGATGAGTTAATGGAATTGAAATGAGATTACCATCGATGATGTTTTAACTTATATAATAGCTACCAACATAAATGAAAAGCGACTATATCGAACTGTGTTCCATTGATTAAGTGACAACATAGAACTGATTAGACAACCGAAATTACAATCCAGGTTAAATTCCTTACCAAAGTGTGTTTTGGACCTATCGTTCATACATTGCCCAAGGTACCCCTATTGTGTTACAAGTAGGAAATGAAGCGTTATAAGATGAATGAAATAGGCATGGCATATAACGAATAAACGTTCTAAATGAATTTTTGGGAAAATATAAGTATATAGGTATATACGGAAAACCAAAAGCTCACTCACTGGTAAGTGGAAGGGTCGTAACCCCCCTGCCTCGAGTGACCACGCTCGTCCTCGGGATAGGATTCACCTATATGCGAAACAACTATAAAAACATTAATTTTAAAGCACATAACCAAACTTAAGAAATAACTTCTCATACAATGCTCAAATGGGGTGTATGAATACACCAACGTGATCTACTCAACCTCAGGAACATCCCCATATTTTTAAAATAATTTTTCACCGTCGCACGCGCCCCCACGCGTCGGCCATGCGCAGGCACGTGCTTGGCACGCTGACGGCGTCAGTTAATACCGTCAGGAATATTCCGTTAACTTTAACGGATTCCGTCAACGGCGTTAGGAATATTCCATCCAAACTGACAGAATATTCCGTCGTCTTCTCCGGCGAGACTCCGGTGCCGTCGCCGGCGCCGGAAAATCGGGAAATCTTTAAATCGTCCTATCTTCTTCGTTTTTCTACCAAATTTCACAAAATTAGTACCAAATTGAAGCTTACAACGAGAGGAACAAGATCATACCACTTTCAAGTGCTAAAATCCATGAAATCTCGCCTGGAAAATACCCCCAACTCCTGCCAACCTCGAAACTCGTGATCCCGACGTCCAAAACCTTCAAATGAACCACCCCGAGCCTCCTAAGGACCTCACCAAGCTCCCTACAAGCTTGAAATTCCCAAAAACATAAGAATTTACGTGTGCATGAACAGTACCAAAAATCGGGTATCCCGAGTTCGACGTGAAAACGAAGGTATCCTTACCTGGAATGGGTATGGTTAGACTCCAATGGACCTCACGAGCATGGATATGTACTTTGTTTCTTCGATCTGTGAAGATTTGATGTGTTTGTGTGTGTGTCCGTACGTTTGGATGGAAAATGGGAAGGGAAATGGCACGGGATGGGGAAAGGGTGAAGGTGTGTGTGTGTGGGGGAATGTGTGGTTCACCATCAGCCAACAACCAACCAAAAACAACCACACAACGTAAAGAAATCACACTAGGGGCAAAATCGTCTTTTCACACGTACGTTTTAAAATTTCCGGAACGAGTTGTCACATACACACTTTGTGTGTATGAACACATTTTTTTAGAAAATGAGAAGGAGAGAGGGAGAGAGAGAAAACGTGGGGGGAGTCGGAGGTTTTTATTTTTATTTTTTTGTTTTTTTAATATTGGAGGTATTTTAACATCACTTGTAAGTGAGGCTTCAATAAAAAACAATAAAATTTAGACCTTTGAAATTCCATTATTGCCCATCATTTTTTTTTTGTGATAGAAGACTAAGTAGTCTTTTCACCCTCTTTTGGTTGATAAAGAGAGTTTCATTAATTAACAGAGATTAGTAACTAGGACCGAATACTAATTTTTCTAAAAAATAATCACGTACTATAGATTGACGATTGGGTCTATGTTGGAAAATAGTTATTTACTAGAAATGGGTACCCGCGCGTTTCTGTGGGATTAGAAACTATAAGAAAAATTATGTCATAGACGATTAATATAATATTATTAACATTAAAATGTTAGAATATTTTAACAAACAAAAGATTTAATCGACACAATCCACACACAAACAATTGTAGAACTTTTGTGTCTACATAAAAAAAAAAATAAAAAAATAAAAAATAAAAAAAAATCAGTCTTTCACTGAAGCACCTATAGTTTCCCTTCATTATTCTTGATTGTCAAGAAAGCAACCTAGGCAAGGAAAAATATGACATATTAAAATGCATGCAATTAATTTATACAATTTATACTATAAAAATAAGAATAAAGTATGGTTACCTAGTCTTTTTTGGTGGAAAAGAATATGGTTTTATACCAGTTAGAAAGGATTTTTTTTCAGTGATTTAATAGTCACTTATTTAGATCAGTGCATTCTAATATTGTAAATGTAAATATTGAGATTTTATGTTATAGCTAAACAATCAATCTAAAAACCAAGTTAACACCCATAGAATTATCCCCTGCATTCTCAAGAGCACCTAATTCACTTCTTAATTCTACCTAACATGTATAACACTTCATCTGTAGCTTAAAACAATAGAACAATAATAAAAATGGTAGAAATCAGACATTAATTTTGAAAGGCTGAACAAATACAAATTAGAAAACATAACATTAAAGTAATTGGTAGATTGAAGACTAACCAGGTTGAGAGTGGAGCTTGATCTGTTCACTTTACAAAAAGTCATAGAAAGTACGACTCTAAACACTTGGGTTAGTCTATGAACAATGAGTGGGTAAGGAATACATTTGCCTATTTTCCAATCGAATAGATATTTATGAAAGTAAAAAGAGAATCAAGATGCCTATTCTAATACTCCAAAGCAGTAATTTGAGAATTTTCCACGACCTACACTAAAAGTAGGATAGCCAAGGAAAACATTAAGCAACAATTATCTTGGTTAACAAAGAAAAAGGAAAACTTGGACCTTTTCTCTATGTTCCATAAATTTGGAAAAGAAGCAGGTGCATCTGTTTGAACGATCACATGGCAACACAAAAGAATTACCGAAAACATAAGAAGATTCATGAGATAGCTCAATGCATGGCAACGACATAAATACAGATTTTTGGGAAACAATTGTCTAGTTACGGAGCAATCCCATTAACAACTCAGTGTGAAACGTGTGCAATAAAGTGATAAGGGATCTCCACCACTTGTGCCGGCAACGAAGGCCAGGGTCAATGAGATAATCAACAATCTTCCCACACTGTAAACGAATAAGTTAAAAAGAAGAATGCTTAGGAAATCATTTCTTAATAAATTAACCAAGAAAGAGAAGACTACTACCTTTCTTGGGTGTTATAGGCAGAAAATCCTTTTTCCTTCCATAACTATGGCTCTAGAATAATCTGAAGTTGCAAATACATAAATGAATATCTATTGTTCATGAATACATAACTATGGCTTTTATGAATATCTGAAGTTGCATATACATAAATGAATTAACCACTATTATGTATAGTTGCAAATACATAACTATGGCTCTAGAATAATCTGAAGTTGCAAATACATAAATACAACATAGCTTGAGACAATAGGAATTCATGCGTTTGGAAAAGTCTACCTGCGTGGTGGTGGAATGTGGGAGTAGGTCAGCAACACGATTGCTTCAGCCTGGACAATAGAAGGCAGGAAAGCATTGATAGAGCAGATGCTCTGAGAACAACTCAAGGATGAAAAGACCGATGCTCAACTAATCGAATTGTAGTTGTGTAATCGTCGCACAGATAAACCCTTCAATTCAGCAAGAATTTATATATTACAACTCAATTAAATACACGACCTTAATAAAATAAAAAAATCAGTGAATAAAAAACCAAAACAGTCAAAACTAAATAACCTGGGTAATCACTAAAATTAAAAGGCTTCATAAGCGATAAAGAAGGGAGAGGGGTACAGACCATGAAAAAATTTGGAATTACTGAAATTAAAACCCAAATTCCAGAAAGTCTAAATGTAAATTCACATAAATAGTTCAAACCAACTCCACATCATTCATGATAATTACTAAATAATCCAAGAAATTGAAATTGCTCACCTTGAATAAAAAGGCCAAAACATAAACCAATGAATAAAAAATTAATACAACTTCATACAGAGTAACAGTTAAAGATTTTGGAAGACCGCAAATATAATTCATTTAGCCATAAACAGTATGCAGAAGTGTGGAAAAAAAAACTTACATATGCACTAACACCACAATTCATGATCATTATCCAAAATCTCTAAAGTAAACATACGTTCAAATATACACCTCTTTATTTTTCATCTCTCTCCCTGTTCTTTGGTATCGTGATAAGGTTTATGATACGCAATGATTTTGCCAAAATGTAATAATAAAAAAATCATAGTAGAAGTTTAACATCAGAGAAGGAGTCGATGTCTACCTTTGATATGAAGATCCTACCATTCTTCTGCATACTTGATTCCTTTTAAGGCCACCTGTTGGGGAAAAAAAAAATAAACACAAAACTTGTAATACTATTTAAACAAAAAGAGATCAGAGAAAGCTTCAATTTCATGTAATTTATTTTGTTAACAATGCAATATTAGAACTCGCATTTGGTTCAAAGAAGTAAGGTAAATTGATAAAGCAAAAGGAAAATAAAAACAGAATCTATACCAACTGGTTTAAAAGCAGCAACAAGTATGGCAATGAAAAATTCATACTGTCCTGATATCTGTTCACTTCCTATTTTTTATCAGACCAGTTTCCATTCTGTAGCTCCTGAGTTTAATTTTTCTTTCGACTCGCTATGTAGATCTGTTCAACAACATTTTGTTTTTCCTAAATTTTTTTTCACAGAAATACAAACTTGTATGAGTGTTAAAAAACCTGCTTTGGTTATGCATATTAACAAACTGATAGAAAACTTGTTACATAATATATATATATATATATATATATATATATAGACACCTGCAGTATTAAAGCAAATGAGGGACAATTGATATCAGCAATAGTACCTGTCATCAACATGAACTTTTCATGCAAAGTAAGATTTAATTTCTTTAATTCTCATCATCTATGATATAAATGAATCTTACGAGAGAAAAGGCGTAGCTTGGGTATGAGTTCTATGTGTCGTCCTATATGCCCACAGTTATTCTTTTGTGCTAGTCTCTCTTTGTTCGGCCGATTACCTTCTTTAGGAGGTTGCATAGCATTTTGTTAAATGCTTCTACAAGACCGTTGGCTGGAGCATGATACATGGAACATTAGCTTGTCCATGAGTAAGTTGGAGAACTGTTTTTCGTTGTCAGTGATGACGTAGCAAGACACACCATAGCTGTGGATGATATGATACTTGATGAAACAGACGACAGTTTCCTTCTTGAGTTCCCTTAGGGGTACGACTTCAGCACACTTAGAGAAGTAGTCAGTCGCAGCTAAGGTGTAGGCTTTTCCTGCAGATGACCATGGTGTGATTGGTCCTATAACGTCTAATCCCCATGCATCAAATGGCCATGAAGCAACTGTAAGGTGTAATGGCTCAGGCGGTTGATGTATGAAGTTAGCGTGGATTCGGTGCCTTTTGCAGTTTCAACTCATGCAGGCAAGAAACATTTGTGCCTAGTGCAGTTTTAGCTGGTGTAGGTGATGAATGTTGCCTTCTCTTCAGGCGTTGTATTGCTTCGAGCCACGAAACTCTATGCAAGTGCAGAGTTGCCTTAATTTTTTAAAGACAACATTTGAGTTCCATCTCAAGTTTATGACCGCTTAAACGAAATCAGCTTCGATCATTTTGACAATCTTAGCTTCATCCAGGCTTGAAGTGCATTGACAACGGTTTCTTGCCCCCTATCCTTGAGTTGTGGTGGTGTAGCAGTGACGTCTTCTTTGGGGATTTCGTCTTCTTTGTCTTCTTTGATTGTGATATGGGACGTCTTGGACTTTCTCTTCAGTGTCGTCCTCTTAGACTTGTTGGCGTGAAGATTGGCCAGTGTAGATGATGGTGTGCCTTTTTACCTTCAGTTGTCCTTTTGTGTCAACTTCCAAGGTTACTTGGCCCTTCATCCTTGAAGGAATCGAGCTTTGAACATCGTCTTTTCCAGTTAGACGGTCGAGCTTTTCTTCCTTTGGCATTGTCTTCCTCTTCCTAGAAGGCTTCTTGGTTTCTTCAAGTCTTTCCAAGGCCGACTATCGTGGAGGAGAGTGAGCCGTGTTGCTTTGTTTCTTACGTTTTAACAACCATTCAAACACAGAGCTTTAGGGTGTTGGCGTGTTAAGCCGTTTGAAGACAGAAGTTCGATCTTGACCACCAATGCAATCAATTGCCGAAATTCTAGGTTTTGAACGATTCAACTTATTGAATACTGACGTTCGAGGGGCGGGTTTAGGCTCCTCTTAACTTTGTTCAACGCTCATGCTGATGTGTTGAGCGCTAGCATTTTTTGCTATGCTTGAAATCTTCACGGGTGTATTTGGTGTGAAACCAAGTCCAGCTTTGTTGTTGTCAACTTCGTAACCATGTTTCTTCAACTTCTTTTGAGTCTCGGTGAGGTCACGTTCTTTGTCGTTGACGATGTTTACATTTTTTTTTTCCAAGATTTGAAGATGAGGCAAAATCGTACCCAGCCTTTGACATGAGTTTGTAGGCGTTTGGGTCGAAATCTTCTTCGATCCTCTTGGTTGGAATAGAGCTTGGTTCCGCCCCCTTTGGCAGGGGTTTTACGAAACCTTGTGGTGGTTTTGAAACTTTAGCGTTGCCTAGCTGTGTCAGAGGTAAAACTGCATTTATCTTGAGTAACTTTATATCGTCCTTGTGCAGTTGTGTGTCGAATTTTCTTGTTCCATTTTTGAATGGGGATCGCCCATCTTTTCTTTTCGACATTGGGATGTATCGGAAGACTAGTGTGTTCGGTCTTTTTAAAGGCGTCACACTCTCTTTGGTTGTTGCGAGCTTAACAGGCTCATCATCGTTTTTTCTTGAGGATGGCACGGCTTCCCTTTCTTGCTTCTTGGGTATGGCTTACCACTCCTGCTTTTTAGGTGCTACTTTTCTTATGGATTTGATCTCTTTTGGAAGAGCTTTGGGCACCATGTCTTCATATATGTAGAACTTGGCGTTCGTGAAATATGATTTGGCTTCAATGAATGGCTTGGTGTCACCTTGTATCATCTTTACTCCTTCTTGGTAGAACTTTAAGCATTGGTGAAGGGTGGATGACACTACTCCATTTTTGTGGATCTAAGGTCTTTCTAAGAGTAAGTTGTAGGAAGTTCTTATCAATCACATGAAATCACGTGCTTGATTTGAGTTCGCCAATGGTCATCTCCACTCGGATCATGCCCATCGCTCTTTGTCATCCTTAGTTAAAACCATGGATTAGGAGACGGCTTCGAGATAGTTCATACACCTTGATGTCAATTGTAGTCATTATTAACTTTGGCATGATGTTTATGGCCAATTTATTATCCACAAGCATGCTATTGATTTTGTGCTACCTTATGTACCCAGAGACGAAGAGATGACGATTGTGAAGCTTTGAGCCCAACATCAAGTCTTCGTCGATGAAGTTGATTGTGTCACAGGCGGCATATTCATGTGGCTGAAGCTTCAAGCCTTCGTCCTTGCTTTCTTGCACTTTGTGATCGTCGGAATTCGCCAAGATGTTACTAGTGCTTTTTGCATCTCTTGGGGCAATCTTAGTGTTTCCTCGATGCTAAAGTGTGTTGGTAGGCTTTCATTGAGCGTGAGAGTTTTCTCTTCCTCGATGATGATAACTTTGCCTTTTGAGGCTTCTTCCATCTCTATTTCAACCATGTGTTAGGCAGCAGTAGTGCACTATTGGAAGAAGTCCTTGGGGAAGTACTCGTGCAAAGAGACGGGAATGCGTGGCTTCTGCTCTATAGGTTCCCCTGCATATGTTGGCTTGGTAGCTCTTATGTTCATTTTGGTCTTCCTATTGTTGTGGCGACGGTGCTTTCTCCCTTACTCCACCTTTACCATGCAGCTTGTGGTTTTGGCTTCCTTGTCTTTTTTTAGGTTACCAGTGTCCATTTTTCTTCATCGTCGGTAGGTGCATTTGGGCGTTTACCCTCAACGATGGTTGTGCAGAAGGTGCTGTGTAGCTTGAGCCTAAATGGGAGTGGTCATGCGTCACTTGGAGAGGCACGAGATCGAAGAACCCAAACACAATCGTAGTAGTGTGTGTTACGACCGTTTCTTCGAGGTTAAGTTTAATTTGCCATTTCGGTGCCAGGTTCATGATGAGCTCTTTGAGGACAAGGCATTTACCAATAAAATGACTCACAATATAATGGTATTTGTGGTACCTAGGATCGCTAACGCGATTCATCTCTTCAGGGCACTTGTACTTAGGTAACTCGATTACCTTCTTTTCCAGCAAGCCGTCTAGCATTGCAGCCACGTTAGAGTCCGAAAAAAGGTATGTCTTCTGCTCCATTTCCCTCAAGGTGTTTTTGTACCTGTCTTGGGTGCAAGAAGGCTTACCCCTCTTCATCTCCTTTGTTTTGTTTTTGGATGAGATCTTGACGAGCGTGGATAAAGTCTTGATGAGGGTTGTATGGAAGGCAAAAGCTTCCTTGGCAGGCTTTTTCCCAGCCTTGTCTACCTTTGGGGCAAACACCTTATCCTTGAAGTCAGTGATTGGCTCATTTTTCCCATCATTGGAGATACTCAGCTCCATATCATGGGATCGAGTTGCCAACTCCTCAAATGTTCTTGGTTTTATGCCTTGGATGATGTAATGTATCCCCCAATGCATACCTTGAACAAACATCTTAATGGCGGAGGTTTCAGAAAGCTAATCTTTGCAATCTAGACTTAATGAATGCCATTTATTGATGTAGTCAACGACAGGTTCATCCTTCCACTGTTTTGTACTTGCCAACTCAGCATGCTTAAGGTACGGCAAGTGTTGTAAAAACTGTTGAGGAATTCACTTTCAAGCTAGTCCTAACTATTGATAGACGTGGGCTCAAGGTTGGTGTACCAATCATAGACGTTACCTTTTAGCGAGCACATGAATTGCTTGACGAGGTAGTCTCCCTCTGTCCCAACATTGTTGCAGGTTTTGATAAAATGGGCAATATATTGTTTGGGATTGCCCTTTCCATTGAACTGCATGAATTTTGGCGGCTGATAACCCCTTAGCATCCTCAAGGCGTTAATCTTCTTAGAGCATAGCTTTGAGTACAACATGGAGTTATGTGAGCTTCCTTCGTACTATGCCTTGATCATGCTGGTGATCATCTTTTGCAGATATTGGATAGAGATAAATCTCATGAGTGTTGTAGCTTGGTCTACCTTGAGCTTTTCCTTGGCTTTCGCCGATAGCAGTTCCTCTTCCTCTTCGGTTTCCTTCTTTGGTTGATCAACTTTCAGGTTGTGGTCAGCTTTCTCGTTATGATGCGCCTCCAAACGGTTGACGAGTGTGGCAATTTGCAAGTCATTTTCCTCCACGATCCTTGTCAGCCTTGCAATTGCTTCATTCATTTAAGCATACCTTGAACAAACATCTTAATGAC